ACTTGAGGAGCGAAGGAAGAAATAGGAAGAGGAGTGGAAGAAAGAAGAAACAGGTTCCAATCACACCTACGCTTCAATAATTCGACAATGGGACCCAGTACAGCATTCTAGACCGACTTTTCATCTTACGACTCTAAGAATTCCCTTTAAAGTTTAAACCACCAGCACCTTTCCCAGCCAAAACGCCGAGACCCGTCGGTTAACACGGAGGCCGCTCTCAGCCCCCCGCGGCGACCAGATGCGCTGCCAAAACTCGGCGTGCAGGGCCCCGCACCCCATAGCTGGGCAAGGCACTGGCAAACCAACTACGAAACAAAAAAAAAGACCAAACCAAGTTCCGAGAGTTCGAATCCAGCCAGACTACGACTTTAGTTCCTTAAAATCGCCGCAGAGGCTGGAACCATAAGCGACCGAAAACAGTTATGACTTCATTCTCCTAAAAAAACTATCCTTACGAACTCTTGAAAATTTTGTAACGATTTTGAAGATCATACCCCCACCATAATCAACTCAAAATAATTTGTTTCATCCTGTGAGAACAGGAATCCACTCAATCCACTGCAGAGAAGGTTTTTGGCAATTTTGATCGGAGCACTGGTTAATAAAAAAAAAAAAAAAAAAAAAAAAAAAAAAAAAAAAGAGAGAGAAAGATTGGGTCCCAGGGTAGTCAATGCTGTGGCACAAGCCTCCCACAACCCTGTTTTGATATGCTCCAAATTCAGTCTGTAGATGGGACGCCGGACCCTTTCTCCCGCAGGTGATGCTCCCCATCAATAGATGGAGCCGCTCCCCAGGTGCTAGTGGCGTCTGCTCTTATCAGCACCACTAACACTGGCGGGGGAATTGAAATAAATAAAAAAATGAAAAAAAAAAGAAAGAGACTGGGATTGCGATGCTTCATCCGCCACAAATAGAGTTACAGAGTAGTAAACAGAAAAGTATAGCTCCGTTCCTGTGACCATCACAAAGCTTTCGCTTTTGCTCTTGCTCGATCTCAGGGGCCAGGTCATCGTCATAGATATAGTCTCACGGCATCTTCGTAGATAGATGTGCCAGCGAAGGCGGGGCTCCTCGGAACCTGCGGGTCGAAATAGGGAGAGGCTTTTTCTGAGGCTAAGTTGGAGAGACTGGTCTTCCAAGTCCAACTGAATTGCCGCGTCTAAGATTGCTACGGGCAGTCCTGCTCTTGGTTTGCGTTAGATGATGGGAGTCCTCTCCCACCCCTTTTTTTTTTTTTTTGCTTTTCTCCTTTTCACATTGTTTCCTCAGAGATAGGGCCTCGCTGCACTACTCTTGAATCTTGAAAAAACAAGCGTAAGAGTTCATCACCGCTGCACTAACTCTTGATGCGGCATCCTGAATTTCCATTCAAGCGCTGTCAGATTAACTCTCGAAAGCGTCGAGAGTGAGGGGCTGATCCCACCTCTTGTCTTTTTGCGAAGAAAGCTAAAAGAACCGGTTTTCCAGGGTCCGTCCCGCTCGCTCCGCGTTATAAAAATCGGATCCCACTTTTCCTAACCGAGCGGCACTATCTTGTGGCGCCTCAAGGATCCGACGGCCTGCACATCAGGGAAAAAAAAAAAAAAAGGAAGAATAAAACAATGGCCCCTTCTTTCACGGTGCAAGGTACGGAGGTGGCTTCTTTTGTTTTTTGAAAGAACTGCGGGTCCTCAAATCATGCTTGCACGGAAAGAGGTGCGATCCCATCGGACGGAAAGAGCGGCACTATCTTGTGCCACGTACTTGACCGTTTCCACTTCTTCGAAAAGATAGGGACACCTCCAGCTCTTGCGGAAAGAGGTGGGATCCCAAAACTTACCAAAAAGTGCCTCGCCTATAAGAAGTGGGATCAGGCCCTGAGTCATCGCTGCACTAACTGTGGAAAACTTCTCTTGGTCCGGCGCTTCAAGAGGTGTCAGAAATGGCCCATCCGACGAGCTCTTGAAGTTTCCACAGTCACCGCCTGCAGGAGCTGTTTTTTCAAGCGAGGCCGACGGGTCCCTTCATGCAGTTTGCAAATTCGATAGTCTGACCTCCGCTCTCGGTGGACAAATCGTCGCTGCCCTGTCATGTCGCGTCTGTCCTACAGTCGAGCATGCTCACGAGAGTCGAGAGTTCGGAGTAAGTGCAGCGACGACAGCACTCGATGCCAATCCGGGAGTCCGACAGCGCTAGACGAACTCTTGAAAAGTAACATGTCTAGCGTAGTGCAGCGAGACCCATAGGCCGCAGTGTGTCTGTTAAACCACCAGTACTTTGCCCAGCTTTCGATGCCGAGCCTGGAATGCCACTGAGCGCCAATTTTCACCGAAGCGCCGGGGTACCGTTTCAATTTTTTTTTGGCTGACGCTTCCGGCCATTGTGGTCCGGTACCACGAAGCCCTAAAGGTGCGCTGCGTAAACGGGAAAGCAGGCCGGCCGATAGCTGGGTGGGCCAAGTATTGGCGGTTTAAGGGAGAGTCCTCTCTTAAACCACCAGTACCTGGCCCAGCTATCGAGTCCGAGCCTCGGCCGACCGGTACGCCGATCCGTGCCGAGGCTCGGACTACCAGGCGCAGGCATCCCGAACGTCGGAGTGAAACGAACGAAGAAAACGGAAAAAAAAACCGAAAAAAAAATGAAAAAAAAAACAAAAAAAAGTATGGCATTGTATATTCCCACGCTATAGCGCCAGATTCATTCGATTTTGCTCATCTTATGGAGGGCGCAGTACCATGAGGCCAGCCGCGACAAGAGAGAG